GCCACAGGCAGCCCCGCACGCGGGCACCTGCCCGGGTCCACCCCACTCACGGCTGCACCGGGCTTCTGGGATCTTGGGGCGCAGCATCACCCAGCCCACGACTGCACCTGCTTTTCCCCCGTTAGAAAGGAAGCCGGGCTGAGACGCCAGGGCTCGGGCTGCGTTATTCCGCTTCGGACTGAAGCGAGACAAACAGAGCCTCACTGGAAGAGTTCAGGACGGCCCCAGGGCTGTGAGACCGGAGCTCTGTTGAAGGAGCAGGGCCGGGAGCGCAGCACGGCGGGTAGTTCGGCAGGCGGCACATCTAGGCCAGCATTTCCCAAACCTTTCCTCAGCATGACCCCTATTCGTGGCCCCATCTCCACAGCACGCTCCTCACTCCCAACCCACAGCCCCCACCCGCCGCCCCATCTGCTGATGTTACAACCCACAATTTGGGAATGGCTGATCTAAGCCACTTAAAAGGACAGAGGATCCTTACCAGCCCTGGAATGAAGAGTTTAGAGGGGATCGGGCAGATGACAGCCAGGAAGTCACGTGACTCCCTCGGCACTGCCAGGCAGCTGGCTTTAAGCTTCGGCTGGAGCAGGAATCAAGGGGGAGGTGCACATGCACACCCCCTGGATCCACCCCTGGCTACAGGTCACGTGCCCAGAACCTGCCCTCTGCAGTGCCAGGGGTTGCCTGATACCGTCTTACCCTCCTCACTCCCCGTGCGGGCCAGATGCTGTGCTTGGCCACTGCAGGCTCCTGTCTTATTTGTAGGAACCTACTTAAATTGTTGCAAGACAAAGGGTTTTTTGTGGCCCGCTTGTAGTGGAGGGCCACTATTGCAGCCATTTCAACCCTGTCCCTTGCTGCTGATTGGCCAAGAGGCAAAAAACACATAATTAAATAATAAATTCTGTGGAAATATACAAGCTATGGTATTATACATTGAAATATTAAATTTAAATCTTTGTATTCTGGTAAGTATTTTGGGGGGTTAATTCCATGGAAAATCGTGCCAGTGCCATTTTTTGCCGTTTCCAAGAAAGTCATGATTTAAGTAGGTCACTACTTTTGGTTTCTATTCTCTACCTGATTACAACAAATCTGTAGAAAGAGAAACTGCTACACAGTACTGCAATTAAAGGCTGCATAAGCATACCTGGTGGAAAGAAGCTGGTGTGGGCAGCGTTAGTTTGGATGTTTGTTAGCAAGCAGTAGCCTGGAGACGGGTGGAAGCCTGTTCCCTACAAAAGCCTGTTCCCTCCCCCACTTTTTCCAGATATTGCAATATCCAAAGTGAGGGCCTCCACTCCCTCCCTTAGGAAGCTGTCCAATATAATAAATGCAGGAACTGGCACACCTGATCAGCTGAGTGGCCTGTCTAGTCCACCTACCTACCTTGTCTGAACTGTGACTAGTACCAAGTGCTAAAATTGTGTGTGATATTCACCCTAAATCTTTCTTAGTTTTACCCTTTTGGTCTTAGACCCTTCTGAAGCACCCAAAACAAATCCACTGCCTCCTTACTTCCATTCTTTAAAGCAGTATTGAGACAATGCCCAACAACATCAATTAGTCTTCCCATTGATTTCCATAGGTGATAAACAATTCCCTTCTCCTGGTGCCAATACTAGAGACAATCTGGTTGAAACTGTATCACATTCACAACTGGATGGGGGCCTACGGAATCTCAGGGAAGCTCATTTTTTTCTGTAAAGGACAGAAAAAAAATTAGGTACTGAAGGTGCTCCAGTATAGAAAGGGCTTGGTCTGTGATTCTGTAGCAGAGGCTAATTGAGTGCTAGCAACTGCCACTGTTTCCCTTCCAGTATCTTACAGTTTTCTGTTCCTTAACATGTTCTCTACAATCACACTCTCACTACCACAGAACTTGTCCTAGGACTGCTCTGAAAGGTAGCATGCTATAACAATATATAGAATCCTTTAAGAGCAGCACACTTCTTAGGTCAAGTACAAGGAAAGGCCACTATTTCTACAAGGAGGACCAGTCTTCATCTTTTCTAATCAACTGCCCTATACCCTAGTTTGACCTTCAGAAGTTGTCAGAAGAATGGGAGCTATATATGAGGCCTTTTATAAACCCAGATGATAATGGGCCTGCACCTCCCAGCACTTGGCTCTGTATCTAATCTTCAGTCATTGTCCGATTTAGTGGGTGTATATTATCAGTCAGTGCAGGTTGTTTATAAGTTTTTATTTATGGAAATATTGGTGACTAGCTTGTCTGACCTCTGGCCCCGCTTTCGAATGAAAGTAACATCTCCCCTATTGAAGGCCTGACATTCCTGTATTGATTTTCTGAAGATTTGTGCTTTGGTAGGTCCTGTTGTCAGAGTCTCAGCTCTTGTCTCTACAGATCGTTAGCTGCTAATAGAAGCTGTGTGTTCACCGCCTATGCTGTATGCTTAGTCTCTTGTTGCTTGGTTGCTTTTTGGTTTTGGTTTTTAATCATGAAATTCACATAGTTAGTGAAATGGGCACCAACTCTGCCACTGATTGAAAACCCTTAGTTAGTTTAATCATTTCCATCCATATTTCTAACCTAAGCCCTTTGTATCATTTTTCTGTCTTGTTTGGGTTTCCAGCTCCTGCAAATTTCTTTAATGTGTCATTCATGTAAACCAGTGCTATAAGACAATAAAAATATACCTGAACCCCAGCACTGTGGCACCTCCACAACCCGGTTCTTTACCATTTAGCATTCCCTTCTGTCCTTCTGCCAGTTTTTAATCTATGTGGCAGTGTTCATATTCAAGCCAATGTCAATTCATTTTTCAAGTAACATTTTATGAGGCACTGTATCAAATGCTTTGCTGCAGTCCGGCTATATTACATTTATGGCATTCTCTTCATCTACTAATTTTGTAAATTCAGTCAGAGAAAGCAATCAGGTTTGTCTGACATGATTTGTTTTTTATAAATCTAGGCTGCTGTTTACTGCTCATAGTTCTATTATCCTCCTGATTTTTACATTTTTTCTCTCTTATTACCTAGTCCATTATTTTACTAGGAACAGAAGTTAGTCAGGGATTGGTAACAACCATTTTTAAGAATGGTTCCCCATTTGTTTTTTTCCACCCTCTGGCACCATGTTTCAGAAATAACCACAGGTAGTTCATTGAGTTTGTTAAATGATACCCCTATAATCCTAGAATGAATGCCATCTAGACACACTAGAAAGCAGGACAGAGTGCAACCTGAAAGACTAACTTGTTCAGAAAAACATAAGATGTTGTAGGCCAGCCTTCTTTGTCATATGCTCTCTACTGATGGCGGTGTGTGCAATTTCTTTGAGCTTTTACTTGTCTTCTTATCAGTTTTTTTTTAACTTTCATTATTTTCTGATTACATTTTCTTATTTTTCTTGTTGAAAGAAATTTTTGGTTTTTTGTTTTGTTTTTAAGAAAAATCACTATTTGGACCACCTTCAAGTCTCTGATTCCCACCCCACCCTGCCTGGCACCCTTTATTTATCAATAGACTTAAACTTTCTACATAGATTCATTTGAAAAAATTATATTCTGTTTTTAACCTTTTGATGACAGTAACTCATTCTGCTTTACTGCAGCACATTGCCTTCCCCTGCCACTTTTCCATTTCTCATACAGAAATCTTCCCATTTTATCCTCAGATTTTAGTGCCAACTCCTCCTAAAATCCAATCCTGTTATACAGCTGCAATCCTTTCTTCATGAGTCAGGTAATAAAACCACTACTAAATGTGTCTGGGTTTAAGAAGGAACTTCCCTTATGGGAAAAGTTATTCTATGAGCATTTATCTCAGAGCTTCATGCACCTTCAAACATCTGAGATTACCCACTAATCCAGGTACACTGGAGGACTAGATAGACTGTGTGAAAAAAGTCCTGTATGCACATGACCTGGGGAGAGGACTACAGCAGATGCCCACAGAGGTGTAACAGAGCAGTTCTGTGCCCTGGGCAGTGGCAATGCATACATCTATAGCAGTGGCTGGGCTGTTACTTGCAGCCAGCCAGCAGCTGCAACAGCTGCTATTTTTGTACCTCCTCACTCCCAAAGTCAATGCCCAAGGCTACTGTCCTGGTACCCCCCACCAGCACTTGGTTACAGTACTCCATGCCCAGTCTAGTTTCTCTTTTGTTTCTATTCCCTGTATCTTTTCTTCATGTATTTCACTGCTACTGTCTACCTCAAACAACTGAATTTCATTAGGACTGCAATGTGAAATATATCTAGCCTCTTGCCTTGCTTGGACCAAATTCCTGTTTTGCCCGAGACAGGGTGGAAGACTGAAACCTAGCTTAGAGTAGCGGACGCTGATCTGGAAGTCTGCATGGGGAACAGAGTAAGTGTGTGCAGGGAAAGACTGCAAAGGTGGGACTAGGAATTGGAAGGAACATAGTAGAGGCTAGACTGTATCTATTTGCTAGGCATTTTGCAGTATTTCTGTACTGCTTTACAACTACCTTCTGTAAAGAGGCACAGAGAGAAAAATAAAGTGTGCAGTACTAGGAGACAAGAGCTCATTGAGTTTTTATTCCGGCTGTGCCATGGACTCTATCAGTGTCCCTGGAAAATTACTTAATCTCGCTTTATGTCTCAGTTTCCTTGTCTGGACAGTGAGTATAATGATACTGACTCCTCTTCCTGGGCCATTGT